AACCTCCCGCTTTGGCTTTGTAGACTGTGCTAAAGCCACGGCTGAGGCCTGGGGCAGCCACTGACTGAAACTGCACCTCAGACAGGTCTCGAAAGCTGTTGACATTCTGACCCAAGAGGGTCACTTCTTTCACTCCCTACAAAATAGAGAGGAAGAATTATAATCTGGGCAGGATGGCTGAGCTGCAAGGTCAGCCATAGTTTTTACTGCAAGGAGTTTACAACAGAAGCCCTCCCATCCCTGTCAGGGCGTATTACAAGGGGAATCCAAAAGCCACTGGTGGAACCCCACCACAACCTCATCTCTGCAGATAAAGGCAGTGACACTGGTTACAAGTAGCACTGAAAACATTGTTACCAGGAACTACCCTTCCTCCCATGGCTTGGGACAGGCGGGAGGAGGCTCTGCCTCACCTGATCCGAGAGCATCCTCACTTCCTGCAGGATGGAGGCGATGGGGCGGCTCCTTTCCCGGCCTCGGGTGAAGGGCACGATGCAGTAACTGCACATGTTGTCACAGCCCCGCATGATGGACCTGCCCAGAGGTAAAGCATGGGTCACCTCCCTCCTGCAGAACCATCCACGCTGCATCCTGCCCAGGATGAGCCCAGAACTGCTCCCTGCAGCCAGCTCCACACACACACCATCCACACTGGATTCAGCTTGCCCTGAGCTAACACCTCCTGATTTTTTATGCACATTTTTAAGAAAGCTGGAAAGAGCTACTGAAGCACAGACAGCCACTGCAGCCTGGCAGTGATCAAAGATCCTTCTACATCCCACTCCTGCAGAGTGACACTGTCCTTCCATACGCTATGGCCACACTGAGAAGAGTCTGATTTCATGTCTGACAATGCTACCACCAAAACTAAACAATCAGAAGGTATAATATGTTTCTCTCAGTAGAGAACAAGAAATAGCAGAACCTGGGGCAGGGGACCACAGAAGGAAGGGGATGAGAGAAGCATGGACTTCAGGAAGGGACAGTGGCACAGAAATCACTCAATGCAGCATCAGGCTGAAAGTCAGCATTCCCAAAGCAGAGGGAGAGAAGTCCACAACAGCCAGAGTTCAGGGCATGCTCTCCAGGGCTCAGTCACACAGCAAAGCAACAGCAAAAACACACACACACACACACACACACAGACACAGACACACACACACACTCTGGGAGAGACAGTGCAGCCAGGCACTGCATCTCCTGGGCAGCTGTTGTCACTGACACATCTACTCTGCACAGATTTCCAAATCAGAGCCACGGAAACAAGCACTGGGAAAAGGTACTCACACAAATGCTGTTGTGCCACCTGCACTAGTCTGGACAGGCAGAATGTCAGCATAGGTCTCATCTAGGGACAGCAGGACGTTGGCAGCTTGCTGGCCAGACTCTGCCACTGCCAGCAGCCGGGGAAGATCACGGTAGGCATCAGGGCCTGCCACGACATCGACCAGCTTCTCCCTGTGCAGAATCTCCTCCTTAAGCCTCTCAGCCATGCATCCTGCCACCAAAGGAGAAGGCTCCTTGTGAGGCAGTGCCTGCCCTCCGTTACTCCCCTGCAGCCCCTTCCAGCTGCTTTCACCCCAGGCCAAGGTGGCTGCTGCCAGCGGGACTCAGGCCATGCAGCCCGGCCATACCCAGGATCCCGACGCGGAGCGGAGCTCGAGCCTGGGGCCGCCGGGCCTTCAGTGCCTTGAGGTGCTGCAGACGGTTCCAGATGGCCTGCTCTGCCTTCTCCCTGGGGAGCCAGCACAACGGGCTACTGCAGCTGCTGCTCCTGCACTGAGCCCCAGCCTGAGCGCCCCAAGTGCTCTGTGAGGAGAATTCAGCTAAAGCAGGGAACCTAATGGCACCTGAGAGTGCGTTTGTGGTGTGCGGATTACGTCTTGTCTCTGTCTTAACTGCTATCACTTTGCTTGCCTCAGAGCATCTCCCCTGCAGAAATACTTTAGGGACTAAGCTCTTGGGGAGAAAAAGTGCCTTGGCCACACTGCAAAGTACCCTGCAATAAGCATTTGGTGTCTTCTGCATTCAGAAAAAACAAGGAAAAGTTCCCTTTATATCAAGTTGCCCCTAAACATATTTCTTACACTTTTTAAGTACAGACACTGTACTAGAGAGTTACTTCAAGAGAAGATAGACTATTTTAAAATAAAATCATTAATTGTGCAGGTCTCTCACTGCCCATGGCATATACACAGAGATTACACTACCAAAGAACTTCTCACCACCCAGAGAAGCAATTCACAGCACAATTAATGTTGTAAATCATAGCACCAGCCAGCCCTACCCTCAACTAAATAGCCAGTATCACACCTGCACACTCCTTTCCTCATGCAACATCTTTATTGCCTTGGTTTTCAAATGGTAATTCCTTAAAAAGTGTCCCAAACCAGCGAGAAACATCTCCTTACCTCACGGAACAGGTGACAAGAAGAACCACATCTGCCTAAATCGAAAGCAACAAAAAGAGAAGAATCTATAAAAATCAAACAATAAGTTCTCACGCCCTGCCCAGGTAACCTGAAGAGGTAGACTATAAAACTCACTTAACTCAGGAAAAAAGACCTACCTGAGTATACAGTAGGTTTCAGCAAAAAGAGTTGCAAGAAAGAAACAGAAGACAAGCAGAGTCTTCACTAAATGGTAAAAGTAAACTCAAAGATGAGACAGGAGGATCCCGCTGTGTCCAATCCCTCTCCAACTGAGACAGAGCCCAGTAGTTTAAAGAAAAAAGACAACCCACAGCTTTCTAGCACACTTGTTAAGCAGTTTCCTTCATTTCACAGAACTCAGACTGCAAAACTCGTAACATCCCACAGGGTTGCAATCCAGGGAAAAGCTGGGACTTGCAGGCACAGCCAGGGCATGAGTGCTGTGCTCCAGGAGAGCTGCCAAGGTGCTGCCTTACCTCACCCAGCTCCTTTGTCCTGGCATAGCCATTCTTCTGCAGGATGGCCCAGACGATCTCGGTGTCACTGACATTCATCTGGCAGCCGTAGGTCTCCAGGTACACTGCAACAAAGGCCATGTGACACAGGAGCCTGCTCAGCTCCCATCCACAACCTGTCCTAGCCCCTGCTCTGCGGGAACAAGCCCTCAACCCCACCACTGGAGCCAGGCAAGCAGCACAAAAGCTGCCTGCACCTGCAGCCCACAAGGGATAAACCGAAGGGCAGGCTCTGGGAAAACTGTGTGCTCTGCAACATGGCAGGGCTGGGCTGTGACTGCAGAGCAGCAGCAGCTGTGTCCTTACTGAGATACAACACTCAGGGCACTGAACACCATCCTCAACGGGGCACCACAGCCCCACAAGGGCTGCCACAGCCCCACTGACAGCCAGCACACAATGCGGGCAGGTGCCAGAGCAAGCTGCTCTCTGCTCAACTCCGTGGTGGAAAAACACGACTTTGTAGCCAAGAACTAAACTCCTTCTAGAGTCAAAACCCCCTCAGAGCCCCAAAAGCAACCAAACAACCCATTTTCCCACTCTGCTCTGACTGGGAAGCACCATTGTCTGCGCCGGCATTACGGCTGCCCGCAGCAAGGCCAGAGCAGGGGGGTTCGGCTGACTCCAACAGCTCCGACCCCGAAGACCCACAGACCTTTCGGGGTGCCGGGGGTAGAGCCCGGCTCAGGCGCCAGCTCTGGCGACGGCCCCGGCTGTCCCGCGGCAGCTGCCCTCAGGAAGTGCCGCAGGTCGGGCCCCGCGGGCAGCGCGAAGCCGCGCCACGCCGGCCACGGTCCCGGTCCGCAGCGCGCCCTGCGGGCGGCCCCAGTACGAGCAGCGGCCCCGGGCGGGCGGAGCAGCCCCGCCGCCCGCAGCGCTCGGGCCCCGGGCAGCATGGCCGCGGCCGGGGGGGAGCTTTGGGGGACGGACCGACCGGCCAGGGACGGAGCCGCCCCGCCGTGCGCCGACAATGCGGCTCCGCCGCCGCCTCCGCCCCTCGGCGCCGCGTTCCGCCCCGCCGCCATTCCGGGCCCGCCCCGCTGCTGGGCGGCGCCGCCGCGGGAATCCCAAAATCACAGAATCAATTAGGTTGGAAAAGAACTCCGAGGTCATCGAGTTCAGCCTGTGACCCAGAAACACCATTTCAGCCAAAACAGGGCACTGAGCGCAATGTCCAGTCTTCCCTTAAACACCTCCAGAGACGGTGACTCTACCACCTCCCTGGGCTGCCCATTCCAAGGCCTGACAACCCTTAATGTGAAGGAATTTTTCCTAATATCCAAAGTAAAAGTCCCCTGGTGCAGCTTAATGTGAAGGAATTTTTCCTAATATCCAAAGTAAAAGTCCCCTGGTGCAGCTTAAGACCACGTCCTCTCAACCTGTCCCTTTTTCCCTGGGAGCAGAGCCTGACCCCCACATGGCTGCTCCCTCCTGTCAGGGGATTGTGAGGGTGAAAAGGTCCCCTCTGAGCCTCCCTTCTTCCAGGCTGAATCCCTCCAGCTCCCTCAGCCTCTCTGATGCTGCAGCCCCTTCACCAGCTCCATTGCCCTTCTCTAGACATGCTCTGAACCTCCATGTGCATTTTGAAGTGAGAGACCCATAACTGGAGAAAGGACTTGAGGTGTGGGCCTCACAAACGCCAGGGGGACAATCCCTTCCCTGGTCTGGCTGCCCTACTGGTTACAGGCCATGTTGATAGAGGCCAGGATGTCCTTGACATTCCTGGCCACCTGGTGCTTATGTTCAGCTGCTGTTGACAGCAACCCCAGGGCCATTTCCACTGTGCTTTTTTCAACCACTCTACCCCAAGGCTGAAGTGAAGGCACAGGAGAGCAGGACACAGGTGATCCATGGTGCCTCGCTATGGCCATGGAAACAGACCAACGAAGTGGCCCTGATCCAGCTCCAGCTCCTACCTGGCCCTGTGCAGCCCCAAGCACAGACAGTGACACCAAGAGCAGAGCCGAAGCAACACCTTTATTGCTGCTCAGAGGGAGGAGGGGAGCAGGTGGCCCAGGGCAGGGGACCCCCAGCTCATGGTAGCACTGGGTGAGGCCCCAGCAGGAGGATGGAGGGTCTGGGCCAAGGCAGCAGTGCAGGACAGTGGCAGGACTGGTGGTCTTCAGCTCAGGCAGGGAAGGGCAAAGTGGTGAATGGAGCAGATTTAGTGCTGAAGGGCTCTCATCACCCTGTCTTCATCCCCGGGGCTGGAAGCGAACGTCTGCTCCAAGCAGCAGGAAATTCTGGGAGAAAGAGAGAAAGCGCTGGGCTGCTATGGGCCCTGGCAGCTGCCCTGCCCAGCGCCCACCACATCCCCCAAGGCAGAATGGATTGGGACCTGTGCTCTGGTTTGCTGCTGGGCCATTGGGATCTCAGTGAAGAGCACCCTCCCATTTGTCACTTTCCAGCACAGCTGAGGAAACTGGATTTGGAGGCTGTGCTGGTAAGCAGGGCTTTGTGGGCAGCAGGATGGGCCCCAGCTGGGGCCAGCTGCTCCCTCTCACTCACCTGGTGGAACCTCACAAGGATCTTGGAGAGCTGAATCCTGTCCAGAAGTGGCAGAGGGAAGCCCTCATCTAAGCGGGCTGGAAAAGACAACACATGTGTCTGCACTGGCATGGGAATGGGAGTCAAGGGAGCACGGAGCACTCAGAGAAGGTGGCCACCTCCTTCCCCCAGCCCTTTCCTCTCCTCCACTGCTCCTGGGGCAGGCAGAGGAAACTCCTGCCAAGCTCCACAGAAGGGCTGCCTGTTGTGCCATGACAGCCCCCTTGGCCACTCCTGCCACCAGCCCCACTCTGGTCTGAGCTGCTGGCGAGGCAGGAGATGCAGGGATTCGGGGAGAGGGTCTGGAAAGCATTAGGATCTGCACAGGGCTCATATTTTCCATTGCGTTTGCTGCTGGGAGCCTGTCAGAGCAGCAAGAGGCTCCCTCCGCTTCACAGCCGCCTCCTGCGCGCACTTTGCCCTGCATCAGCCTTGGCAATGAGGATTTAATTAGTGAGCTGGGACCCCTTGGATGGAGCAACCTGAGTCGGGGGTGCTCCAGCAACACCATTCCCTCTGTAGGTTCTCACCATTAAGATGTGGCAGGAGAACATTGGAAGTCAGGATGTTCATTATGGACTGCAGAAATTGCACCTGGCGAGTGGGGAGAGAGGGAGGAAAAGCTTTAGTCTGCAGGACAGGAGACATGCGGGCACTGCAGGATAATTCTAAAAAGAGACAAGAAGCTGGGCTGTGCACAACACTTTGCAGAGACCAGCAGCTTTGTCTGTTCACACTGGCAGTGTAGGAAATGTTTGGGGTGAGAGCAGCAATGGATCAGGCTCCGCATCCTTTCCCAGCCTTGCAGGCTGAGGCAGGAGGTGGCTGCAGGGTCAGTGTGGGGTCCCATGTTGGGAGGCAGCGAGGAATGAGTCCCTGTCCTGGCCCCCAGCAGGCTGCCAGCTCCATGCTGGGGGCTCTGGTTGTGGTCAAGGATAGCTTACCTGGAAAGTGCCAACAGCTGAATCCTTCAGAGAGAGCCTGATCCTGCACAGGGACAGAAGTGGTGCTGTGGAGGATGTGCCAAGGGAGGGAGCCATTCCACCCATCCATGGCCATGCAGATCCCACTCCCTCCAGCTCCAGCTCATTCCTTCCCTCCACAGCAAGCCCACGTCCCAGGGACCTTCCCATCCCCTCTCTGTCCCTGGGCACCCAAAACAGAAAGACCTCCAGCCACCCCCTGCCCAGTCAGTGGCTGCTCCCCTCTGTACCTGCCCACATCCAGGCTCCCAACTATGCGGCCGGATCTCACGTTGATGACAGCGGACACGTTCCCTGTCTAGGGAGAGAGCACAGAGCTCTGGCAGTGCTCACCCCACCTCAGCCCAAAGCAGACACCCAGGGGAACAGCCCTGACCAGCTGAAACACACCACTGCCCATCCAGGGGTGTGTCTGCATCCAGCATTAAACCTGGCATTTGTCAGCTCAGGAATTGTTCAGTTGGGGACACCCTCACTGTGCCTGGACAGCACCTGGGAGCGCCCCTGGCAGGATCTGGGCAACAGGACAGGGCACAGCTCAAACTCCCTTCTGCCCCATCACCGCAGGCCGTGTCTGAACTCACCAGGCTGAGGAGGAAGAGAGGAGCCAGGCTGGAGTTGGGAAGGATGGCATAAGCCTGGGCATCCACAATGGGCTGGAATGAGATTCCTCCTGGTCCAATAGTCAGGAATGGAGCAGTGGGAGTGGACAGCCTGAACTTCATTGGCATGTTTGGATACTTCTCCTCCAGCTGTGTGGGAGTAGGGAGAGGATGGGAATGATGGCACAAACCCCCAGTCCTGAGGGAGAACACCTGGCACAGAGCGAAGCCTGTGTGTGCAGGAGCTCTGGGCAGGCAGGGCCAGACTGCTCACCTGGGGAATGAAGGCTGAGAAGACAGAGGTGTCCAAACTGAATCTCGCTTCCTTTGGGATCTGCAGGGAGATGATTGTCACACTGGGGCAATGTGGCACAGAGGAGCCCATGGCGAGCCCATTGCATCCCCAAATGCTGCCATGTGTGACAGCCCGGCGTCATCCCACAGCCCCCAGCTCTCTCACTGGGGCTTCTCCAGGATTGCTGGCTGCTCCTGGAGCTCCTCAGCAAATGGAACCTCTTTCCCTGCCCTGTCCCACTCATGCCACTCACCTTGGCCTTTGTGATTTCAAAGACCAGTGCCCCAGCCTCGTGGTAGGCAATGCCGGCTGTGTTGAAGAAGTAGCTGGAGGCTCCAAAGTAAACCATGCGCTCGTGATCCGAGGGGAAGGCCAGCGGCAGCGGTGAGAAGGGGACGGGGGAGCGGTGGGCCAGGGAGTAGAATTCACCCTGGGAGGAGGGAGAGACGTGGAGAAGAGCTGCAAATAGCAGTGGGTCTCACCTGCTGACTCACCCTGGCAAACAGCATTTGCAGCAGGTTCCAAAACCTTGGCTCCCACCTGCCTTTGGCAATGGCATTGGCCAAATCAAGTGTTCCCAGGGGCTGCTTCTCACCTTCAGGTCTGCATCCAGAGACTGGGCAGTTGCTCTTGGGGGTGCCACCAAGGAGTAATTGATCCCAATCTTGTCATCTATCCTGACTGTGACTGCAAACCCATGGAAGAGAGATGAGTATGAATGACATGGTTGGCAGCAGATGGCCTGCAATGGCATCTGGGCAGTGCTGTGATTGGGCTTCCTGGTGCACCAGCTCACTACCCACTGCTCCTCTGCTTGCTTTTGCTAGGAAGCAAAAACCTCCACTTTTCTCCTGTCTTTTTCACAGCCATTTCCTGGACCTGAGAAGTGGCCATCACCCCCAGTTAAGGTAACCTACGCTCCCACCAGCCCATGGGCACAGATTCTGCAGGTATTCCCACAGCCAGACAGGACACACAGTGATTTCTCTCTGCTGAGAAGGTGCTCCCCATCTCCCAGCTTGGGTGCCAGAACACCCGGAGATGGAGAGTGGACATAAAGTAAAACTTTCCTCATGGCTGGGAAAAACCAGGAAGTGCTGCTTCTAAGCCCACTTAAAGCCCCCCAGTACCTGGCATCGTCTGGACCTGCTTCTGGAGCTTGTTTTTTACAGACTTGGCCACATTGTCACACACCTGTGGGACAGAAAGGCCACAGAGCTCAGCAGGGGCAGCTGGGTCACAGCTCCATGACAAAGCTTGCTTAAGTAAATGAGCACACAGTGATGATTGCCTCCATTCATCAGGCAGCACATTAAGTGTCCAAGACTCAAGCAGGATTTATACCTACAAGCATCTGCCTGCAGCAATTTCCCTCAGCACAGTTCAGCTCTGGGGAGACCCTTGGAAGGGAAATCTCATGTGGCCCATGCAGGAATGAACCGTGCTGAGCAGCCAGGGAATGGCTGAGGAAGAGCAACAGAGAGGATTAACCTACCCACAGGGGTGTGCTCTGGCTATATTTGGATCCCTATACTTGATCCTTTGAGCACATTACCTACAAGTGAGGACTAAAGACAATCAGGAATCCCAGGGCTCTGCCTTTCACTGCTAACATACCGTGGTCCCTAAATGCTTCTGCAACAGGGATGTAGCAGTCTTCTTGAATGTGTTGTAAAGCCACCTACAGAGAAACACAGAGAGAAGCCCAGCCTAGCTCAGATCCTTTCTGCAGAAGTATGTGCCCAGGAAAGGGAGACGATATAGAACATCATTCTCAAGCAAGACCCGGGAACATCATTCCTACACTAAACTGGCATCTGGCTTTGCCCCAGGGTTTACATTTGAAAACAGACTCACTGGTAAACCCCACTCACCACTTTAAATGTCCAGCCACAGCAGGAGAAATTCAGGCCAGATTTAAGAGCAGGCAACATCAGATTTGCCAACAACATACTCACACGAGGTCCCCATTCTAATGGCAAAGCATCATTCCCATGGCATTCCCATATGGGCTAACACAGAGCATTTCCAGACCTTCCAGTGAAGTCACATACCCAAGCTTGCCAGAAAAGCGCAACCCGACTTTGGAGGCGCGGGCACTGCAGTCTGAGGTGCTGATGGTGGGCCTCCCAGTGGTGTCCCTGCCCAGCCTCAGGATGAATTTGATTGAGATATTTTCCACCTTCAGGTCAAAAGATCCGGGCCCACGGCTGCAGGGAGAAGGGGGAATAAGAAGGAGATATTTGTCAATGCCAAGACCTGGTGAAGAGACCTCAAATCTGTTGAGGATGCATCAATCTGGATCAGTCTCCCCCTTGTATGGTGCATCCAGAGGAGATTTGGAAAGTGTTTAAATTCAAGGGGAGCAAATTTTACTGGCACATAAACTAGGAGAGGTAACTTTTACACAGAGAGGAGTGAGAGTAATTAGGGGTGGTGGAAGAGAGACCTGAGGGTCCATGTATACCTCCCCTTTCATGTGCCTTGTTCCTGCCTCCCACCCTGTTTTATCCGGGGGATCAAAGTGACAGCTGCCCAAAACAGAAGGGAGAGGAGAAAAAACCTGTCAAATTCAAGAGTGGGAGACACAGAGTAGGTGCCTGAATAGGGAGAGGAAGAGCTGGCCACTCACATAAAGAGAAACTTCACCCAGCAGTCCCCATTCAGCTCAACAGAGGCGTTGGAGATGGAGACCTGCAGGCCCACATTGGGGACCGGGGTAATCCGTGAGTGAGGCAAGCGGAAAGTGGGAATGTGCAGCCTAAAATATACAAATAAAATGAAAAATCATGTTACAGTGGTTCCACACTCCCAAGCACAAGGCAAAGGAGGGATGGAGGGAGGGAGACAATCAGGGAGGGAAGAAGGGTGAGCAGGATGGAGTCACTGCACTGGCAGCATTTCCAGCTGCAGTTCTGCTGCTGCAAAGCTATGCCTGGCAGGGTCACACAGTGCAGAGTGGCACCTTTGGGAATGGGGCCCTTGCAGCCACCCAAGGCAGCTCCAAACACTGCGCTGCAGGAGAAGAGAGGCACCCGGGCAGCAGGGAGCTGGCATTTCCACAGGGATTGGGCTCCTGCTTCACATGCCTTGTCCCACAGGCAAGGCCATCTCCACTACCCAGGCTGTGATTGCACACAGTCCACCCATGCCCACACTGCTGTGATCCTCATTCCAATTTTCGCCTTGGGCAAGGAGAAAAACAGGAACATGCACCAAGGACACGGCCAACATCTCAGGGAGCTGTGGAGGGGACAGGATGCTCCTCAGTGCTCAGGGGGCTCTCCATCATCCCCACTCCTCCTGCCCCTCGCCGTGGTCAGGAGGGCAGTGGGTGGCTCCAGGCCACTGGCGAGGCTCACAGGGCTTACCTGGAGAGTGAATAGTGCAACTCCCCCGATTTACCCGAGATGTTTGGCAGCTTCAGCTGGGCCAGCTCCTTCTCCAGGATCGCAATCCCCTGCTCTTGGGCTACAGGGACACAGGGACAGCGTCACTTCACCACTGCCACAGGAGCTGCAGCACACACTGGGCATGCAGCAGAAGGATCAAAGGAGAGATCCAGGTGATGCTGCCTCCCAGGCTGGCTTTAAAGCAAACCTCTGTGCACACAGCCCTGAGAGCACACAGGCAATGCTGCCTGGAGCCCTGCTTGCAGCCCCAGGGGAAGGTGATGGCTGCAGAAAGGAGAGAAGTGTCCCAGCCTCACTCTCCAGGCAGTGCACTGGGGGAGATCTGCATGAGGTCTGAGGCCCTGGGATGCTGTGTGTTTCTCACACAGTGTATTTCAGTGCATAACTGTGCTCTGGTGGAGCCAGGGCCCTGCCTGCCTCAATAAAACCAGCACAGGGCCCATCCATCTCTGTCACTGCCCCTCCCTAAACTCCCCAGCTCCTCTCTCCTCTGCAGCTCCCTCCTCCAGGGCTCACGGCTCAGCTGCCTGGATGTGCTGTGGGAGCAGCACCCTCCTGCTGTGCCAGCCTCCCACACTGCCTGGCTGCAGCTCCCTGAGACCCCACAGGGCTGGTCCCCTCTGCAGGGGCTCCATCAAGCTCTGCTGTAGGGGGCAGGCAGGTGCAGCAGGGGAAGGCCTGGCCGATGGTGCATTTGGCACCCCTGGCCAAGGATTTCCCCACCCTGTCCCTGTGCTCCTCATATGGGCACCCATGGCCAAGGATCTCCCATTCTGCCCCAGGACCCTGCACTTCTCACAGGGTACCTGGCTCCACAGCTCTGCCACCAGCACATCTGTCAGGAGAGAAATCAGAAGCAGAACTCACCGTAGTCCAAGCCTGCCTGGGTGATCCTCACCACGAAGCCGGGGTTGGTGGCTGTGCTGAGTGCCAGGCACAAGGCCAGTGCCCCACAAGCCACAGCCACGCTCTGCATTCCCATCCTGGCTGCCCACATGCCACGTTGTGCAGGGCTCTCCCTGCCCACACCACCTTTATATCCCAGCCAAAACAGGAACCTTGGGCAAAGGTGGTGTTAGGAACCATGGGGGCCTCTCTGGGACTTCCTGCTTGGCCACCACCCTGCTCCACTGTGCTGCTGGCACCGTGGCTGCATGGCCCAGCACAGAGGCACACCTGGTGCCTCCCACCCAAAGCAGGGAAGGAGCAGTGGAAACTGGGAGGCAACAGCCTAGTTTCCAGCTCTCTGTCACTGCCAGCCTGGGAATTCCCCGGGCAGCTTGTACCAGTGCCAGAGGCAGGACTGCTGCTGCTCTCCAGCCTCACACTGGCAGGTGTATGTCGGCTGGGGAACCAGATGGAAAACCCGTGGACACAGGAAGAAAAATGAGACCACCCTGCCTCAGTTTGGAGAGAAATTGGAAAGAGAAGTCATCAGCCCAAAATAAAGCCCCTCTTAGCCATATCCGGGAGAAGTTCATTGTCACCCATAGGATTGGTCAATGGTCAGGATCAGTGACAACGTAGGTTGTCCCTAGACCTACAGGAACTTCAGCACAGAGAGGTCATGGGAGGCATCAGGGCCTGCCACAACATCAAGCAGCTTCTCCTGTGCAGAATCTCCCCCTTAAGCCACTGTCCTTTTTCCAATCACTCTGTCCCAAGGCTGGAGTGAAGGCACAGGAGAGCAGGACACAGGTGTTCCATGGTGCCTTGGAATGACCATGGAAACAGCCAAACCAGGTGGTCCCAATCCAGCTCCCATCTGTCCCTGTGTGGCCCGAGGTGCAGACAGTGACACCAAGAGCACAGCCCCAGCACCGACGCCTTTATTGCTGCTCAGAGGGAGGAGGGGAGCAGGTGGCCCAGGGCAGGGGACCCCCAGCTCATGGTAGCACTGGGTGAGGCCCCAGCAGGAGGATGGAGGGGCCGGGCCAAGGCAGCAGTGCAGGACAGTGGCAGGACTGGTGGTCTTCAGCTCAGGCAGGGAAGGGCAAAGTGGTGAATGGAGCAGATTTAGTGCTGAAGGGCTCTCATCACCCTGTCTTCATCCCCGGGGCTGGAAGCGAACGTCTGCTCCAAGCAGCAGGAAATTCTGGGAGAAAGAGAGAAAGCGCTGGGCTGCTATGGGCCCTGGCAGCTGCCCTGCCCAGTGCCCACCACATCCCTGAAGGCAGAATGGATTGGGATCTATGGCTCTGGTAACCCCTGTGCCAGTTTTTCCCCCCGGCAGGCTCTGGAGGCATTTCACAGCCACACCTCACTACAGATTTTCAGCATCCTCATTGTGACCTTGCTTTGGGGTTTCCCCAAGGCACGCCACAACAGGGGCTCTCTCTGCTCCTCTGGACCTGGTACAGCTGCTTACAGCAGAGGAGGCAGGGGCTGCATTCTACCAGGCATCACAGCATCCATCCAGGCACTGCCAGTCAGGGAGAGCAGGGATTTGGGGCTGACACTGCTATAAAAAGCAGCATTGGAAACTCAGACCCCAGGCTTAAGAACTGGAGAATGATGTGGTGCCATCCCAGACACCCAAAATGCAGCCAAGAAAAGCAGAGAACTGGTTTGTGCTGAAAGCTCCCATCGATCACCTCATGGCACAGCTGAGGGAACGAGATTTGGAGGCTGTGCTGGTAAGCAGGGCTTTGTGGGCAGCAGGATGGGCTCCAGCTGGGGCCAGCTGCTCCCTCTCACTCACCTGGTGGAACCTCACAAGGATATTGGAGAGCTGAATCCTGTCCGGCAGTGGCAGACGGAAACCCTCATCTAAGCGGGCTGGAAAAGACAACACATGTGTCTGCACTGGCATGGGAATGGGAGTCAAGGGAGCATGGAGCACTCAGAGAAGTTGGCCACCTCCTTCCCCCAGCCCTTTCCTCTCCTCCACTGCTCCTGGGGCAGGCAGAGGAAACTCCTGCCAAGCTCCACAGAAGGGCTGCCTGTTGTGCCATGACAGCCCCCTTGGCCACTCCTGCCACCAGCCCCACTCTGGTCTGAGCTGCTGGTGAGGCAGGAGATGCAGGGATTCGGGGAGAGGGTCTGGAAAGCATTAGGATCTGCACAGGGCTCATATTTTCCATTGCGTTTGCTGCTGGGAGCCTGTCAGAGCAGCAAGAGGCTCCCTCCGCTTCACAGCCGCCTCCTGCGCGCACTTTGCCCTGCATCAGCCTTGGCAATGAGGATTTAATTAGTGAGCTGGGACCCCTTGGATGGAGCAACCTGAGTCGGGGGTGCTCCAGCAACACCATTCCCTCTGTAGGTTCTCACCATTAAGATGTGGCAGGAGAACATTGGAAGTCAGGATGTTCATTATGGACTGCAGAAATTGCACCTGGCGAGTGGGGAGAGAGGGAGGAAAAGCTTTAGTCTGCAGGACAGGAGACATGCGGGCACTGCAGGATAATTCTAAAAAGAGACAAGAAGCTGGGCTGTGCACAACACTTTGCAGAGACCAGCAGCTTTGTCTGTTCACACTGGCAGTGTAGGAAATGTTTGGGGTGAGAGCAGCAATGGATCAGGCTCTGCATCCTTTCCCAGCCTTGCAGGCTGAGGCAGGAGGTGGCTGCACGGTCAGTGTGGGGTCCCATGTTGGGAGGCAGCGAGGAATGAGTCCCTGTCCTGGCCCCCAGCAGGCTGCCAGCTCCATGCTGGGGGCTCTGGTTGTGGTCAAGGATAGCTTACCTGGAAAGTGCCAACAGCTGAATCCTTCAGAGAGAGCCTGATCCTGCACAGGGACAGAAGTGGTGCTGTGGAGGATGTGCCAAGGGAGGGAGCCATTCCACCCATCCATGGCCATGCAGATCCCACTCCCTCCAGCTCCAGCTCATTCCTTCCCTCCACAGCAAGCCCACGTCCCAGGGACCTTCCCATCCCCTCTCTGTCCCTGGGCACCCAAAACAGAAAGACCTCCAGCCACCCCCTGCCCAGTCAGTGGCTGCTCCCCTCTGTACCTGCCCACATCCAGGCTCCCAACTATGCGGCCGGATCTCACGTTGATGACAGCGGACACGTTCCCTGTCTGGGGAGAGAGCACAGAGCTCTGGCAGTGCTCACCCCACCTCAGCCCAAAGCAGACATCCAGGGGAACAGCCCTGACCAGCTGAAACACACCACTGCCCATCCAGGGGTGTGTCTGCATCCAGCATTAAACCTGGCATTTGTCAGCTCAGGAATTGTTCAGTTGGGGACACCCTCACTGTGCCTGGACAGCACCTGGGAGCGCCCCTGGCAGGATCTGGGCAACAGGACAGGGCACAGCTCAAACTCCCTTCTGCCCCATCACCACAGGCCATTTCTGAACTTACCAGGCTGAGGAGGAAGAGAGGAGCCAGTTTGGAGTTGGGAAGGATGGCATAAGCCTGGATATCCACAATGGGCTGGAATGAGATTCCTCCTGGTCCAATAGTCAGGAATGGAGCAGTGGGAGCGGACAGCCTGAACTTCATTGGCATGTTTGGATACTTCTCCTCCAGCTGTGTGGGAGTAGGGAGAGGATGGGAATGATGGCACAAACCCCCAGTCCTGAGGGAGAACACCTGGCACAGAGCAAAGCCTGTGTGTGCAGGAGCTCTGGGCAGGCAGGGCCAGACTGCTCACCTGGGGAATGAAGGCTGAGAAGATAGAGGTGTCCAAACTGAATCTCGCTTCCTTTGGGATCTGCAGGGAGACGATTGTCACACTGAGGCAATGTGGCACAGAGGAGCCCATGGCGAGCCCATTGCATCCCCAAATGCTGCCATGTGTGACAGCCCGGCGTCATCCCACAGCCCCCAGCTCTCTCTCTGTGGCTTCTCCAGGACTGCTGGCTGCTCCTGGAGCTCCTCAGCAAATGGAACCTCTTTCCCTGCCCTGTCCCACTCATGCCACTCACCATGGCCTCTGTGATTTCAAAGACCAGTGCCCCAGCCTCGTGGTAGGCAATGCCGGCTGTGTTGAAGAAGTAGCTGGAGGCTCCAAAGTAAACCATGCGCTCGTGATCCGAGGGGAAGGCCAGCGGCAGCGGTGAGAAGGGGACGGGGGAGCGGTGGGCCAGGGAGTAGAATTCACCCTGGGAGGAGGGAGAGACGTGGAGAAGAGCTGCAAATAGCAGTGGGTCTCACCTGCTGACTCACCCTGGCAAACAGCATTTGCAGCAGGTTCCATAACCTTGGCTCCCACCTGCCTTTGGCAATGGCATTGGCCAAATCAAGTGTTCCCAGGGGCTGCTTCTCACCTTCAGGTCCAGGTCCAAGGACTTGGGTGTAGCTCTTGGGGGTGCCACCAAGGAATAATCAATACCAAAGTTGTTATCTATCTTGGCTGTGACTGCAAACACAAGGGAGATGAGTAAGGAGATGGTCAGGAAAGCTGGCAGCAGATGGCCTGCACTGGCATCTGGACAGTGCCATGATTGGGCTTCCTGGTGCATCAACTCACTACCAACTGCTCCTCTGCTTGCTTTTGCTAGGAAGCAAAAATCCCCACTTTTCTCCTGTCTTTTTCACAGCCATCTCCTGGACCTGAGAAGTGGCCAGGGTCCCCCCGCTAAAGTAGCCAAAGCCCCTGACATTCCGTGGGCACAGATTCTGAAGGAATTCCCACAGCCTGACAGGACACACAGTGATTTCTCTCTGCTGAGAAGGTGCTCCCCAGCTCCCAGCTTGGGTGCCAGAACACCCGGAGATGGGGAGTGGACACAAATTAAAACTTTCCTCACGGCTGGGAAAAGCCAGGAAGAGCAGCTCCTAAACCCACTTAAAGCCCCCCAGTACCTGGCAGCGTCTGGATGTACGTCTGTAGCTCATTGTGCACAGACTTGGCCACATTGTCACACACCTGTGGGACAGAAAGGCCACAGAGCTCAGCAGGGGCAGCTGGGTCACAGCCACACTCCCAGCTCCATGACAAAGTATGCTTAAGTAAATGAGCACACAGTGATGATTGCCTCCATTCATCAGGCAGCACATTAAGTGTCCAAGACACAAGCAGGATTTATACCTACAAGCATCTGCCTGCAGCAATTTCCCTCAGCACAGTTCAGCTCTGGGGAGACCCTTGGAAGGGAAATCTCATGTGGCCCATGCAGGAATGAACCGTGCTGAGCAGCCCCCCGGGGGGGGGGGGGGGGGGGGGGCAAGGGCGTGGCCAAGAAAGAGCAACAGAAAGGATTAACCTACTCACAGGGGTGTGCTCTTGCTCTCCTTACATCCCTACTTCTGAGCCTTCTGGACGTTACCAACAAGTGGGGGCTTAAACACAACCAGTAAACACAGGACCCTGCCTTCCACTGCTCGCATACCTTGCTCTCTAAATTCTTTCGCAACTTCCTCTCAATAACGCGGTGGAAGAGGTTGTAAAGCCACCTACAGAGAAACACAGAGAGAAGCCCTGCCTAGCTCAGTTCCATACTGCAGAACTATGTGCCCAGGAAAGGGAGATGATAAAGAACATCATTCTCAAGCAAGCCCCTGGGAACATCATTCCCACACCCATTTGGCATCTGGCTTTGCCCCAGGGTTTACATTTGAAAACAGACTCACTGGTAAACCCCACCCACCCCCTTAAATGTGCAGCAACAGCAGGAGAAATTCAGGCCAGATTTAAGAGCAGGCAACATCAGAATTGCCAGCAGGCTACACCTCTAAACAAGGCCACATTCTAGTGACAGGTGGGCTAATACACAGCATTTCCAGACCTTCCAGTGAAGTCACATACCCAAGCTTGCCAGAAAAGCGCACCCGGACATTGGAAATGCGGGCACTGCAGTCTGAGGTGCTGATGGTGGGCCTCCCAGTGGTGTCACTGCCCAGCCTCAGGATGATTTTCAAGTTGACATTTTCTACCTTCAGGTTGAAAGATCCATGTCCCTTGCTGCAGGGAGAAAGGGGAATAAGAAAGAGATATTTGTCAATTCCAAGGCCTGGTGAAGAGACATCTCATTTGGTTCAGGATACATCAGTCTGGATCAGTCTCCCCCTTGTATGGTGCATCCAGAGTAGATTGGGAAAGTGTTTAGATTCAGGGGAAGCAAATTTCACTGGCACATAAACTAGGAGAGGAAACTTTAACACAGAGAGGAGTGAGAGCAAGTAGGGGTGGTGGAAGAGAGACCTGAGGGTCCATGTATACCTCCCCTTTCACGTGCCTTTTACCTGCCTCCCACCCTGTTTTATCCATCATATCTGGGAGAGCAAAGTGACAGCTGCCCAAAACAGAGGGGAGAGGGAGAGGGAGAGGGAGAGGGAGAGGGAGAGGGAGAGGGAGAGGGAGAGGGGGAGGAGAAAAAACCTGTCCAGTTCAAGAGTGGGAGACACAGAGTAGGTGCCTGAATAGGGAGAGGAAGAGCTGGCCACTCACATAAAGAGAAACTTCACCCGCCAGTCCCCATTCAGCTCAGCAAAGGCGTTGGAGATGGAGACCTGCAGGCCCACATTGGGGACCGGGGTAATCCGTGAGTGTGGCAAGCGGAAAGTGGGAATGTGCAGCCTAAAATATACAAATAAAATGAAAAATCATGTTACAGTGGTTTCACACTCCCAAGCACAAGGCAAAGGAGGGATGGAGGGAGGGAGACAATCAGGGAGGGAAGAAGGGTGAGCAGGATGGAGTCACTGCACTGGCAGCATTTCCAGCTGCAGTTCTGCTGCTGCAAAGCTATGCCTGGCAGGGTCACACAGTGCAGAGTGGCACCTTTGGGAATGGGGCCCTTGCAGCCACCCAAGGCAGCTCCAAACACTGCGCTGCAGGAGAAGAGAGGCACCCGGGCAGCAGGGAGCTGGCATTTCCACAGGGATTGGGCTCCTGCTTCACATGCCTTGTCCCACAGGCAAGGCCATCTCCACTACCCAGGCTGTGATTGCACACAGTCCACCCATGCCCACACTGCTGTGACCCTCATTCCAATTTTCACCTTGGGCAAGGAGAAAAACAGGAACATGCACCAAGGACACGGCCAACATCTCAGGGAGCTGTGGAGGGGACAGGATGCTCCTCAGTGCTCAGGGGGCTCTCCATCATCCCCACTCCTCCTGCCCCTCGCTGTGGTCAGGAGGGCAGTGGGTGGCTCCAGGCCACTGGCGAGGCTCACAGGGCTTACCTGGAGAATGAATAGTGCACCTTCCCCGATTTACCCGAGAAGTCTTGCAGCTTCAGCTGGGCCAGCTCCTTCTGCAGGATCGCAATCCCCTGCTCTTGGGCTACAGGGACACAGGGACAGTCACTCCACCACTCCATCATTGCAGCCACAGGAGCTGCAGCACACACTGGCATGCAGCAGAAGGATCAAAGGAGAGATCCAGGTGATGCTGCCTCCCAGGCTGGCTTTAAAGCAAACCTCTGTGCACACAGCCCTGAGAGCACACAGGCAATGCTGCCTGGAGCCCTGCTTGCAGCCCCAGGGGAAGGTGATGGCTGCAGAAAGGAGAGAGGTGTCCCAGCCTCACTCTCCAGGCAGTGCACTGGGGGAGATCTGCATGAGGTCTGAGGCCCTGGGATGCTGTGTGTTTCTCACACAGTGTATTTCAATCCATAACTGTGCTCTGCTGGAGCCAGGGCTCTGCCTGCCTCGATAAAACCAGCACAGGGCCCATCCATCTCTGTCACTGCCCCTCCCTAAACTCCCCAGCTCCTCTCTCCTCTGCAACTCCCCCCTCCAGGGCTCACGGCTCAGCTGCCTGGATGTGCTGTGGGAGCAGCACCCTCCTGCTGTGCCAGCCTCCCACACTGCCTGGCTGCAGCTCCCTGAGACCCCACAGGGCTGGGCCCCTCTGCAGGGGCTCCATCAAGCTCTGCTGTAGGGGGCAGGCAGGTGCAGCAGGGGAAGGCCTGGCCGATGGTGCATTTGGCACCCCTGGCCAAGGATTTCCTCACCCAGTCCCTGTGCTCCTCACATGGGCACCCATGGCCAAGGATCTCCCATTCTGCCCCAGGACCCTGCACTTCTCACAGGGTACCTGGCTCCACAGCTCTGCCACCAGCACATCTGTCAGGAGAGAAATCAGAAGCAGAACCCACCGTAGTCCAAGCCTGCCTGGGTGATCCTCACCACAAAGCCGGGGTTGGTGGCTGTGCTGAGTGCCAGGCACAAGGCCAGTGCCCCACAAGCCACAGCCACGCTCTGCATTCCCATCCTGGCTTCCTGCAAGCCTGCACTATGCTGGGCTCTCCCTGCCCACACCACCTTTATATCCCTGCCAAAACAGGAACCTTGGGCAAAGGTGGTGTCAGGAGCCACGGGGGGCGTCCCCAGGATTTCCTGCTTGGCCACCACCCTGCTCTGCTGTGCTGCTGGCATCGTGGGCACATGGCCCAGCACAGAGGCACACCTGGTACCTCTCACTGAAGGCAGGGAAGGAGCAGTGGAAACTGGGAGGCAACAGCCCAGTTTCCAACTCTCTGTCACTGCCAGCAATCCCTGCCTGTGGCAGCAGTGGATGTTCAGTGGGGCAGAGCTGGGTTTGGCACTGGCAGCTGAGCCTGACAGAGCCACATGTCTGCAGCCTGCCCCCAGAAAAAGCTGGGAACAGTCTGGGCTGCCCAGGAGCAGGGTCCCAGCCCTGCTGCTCTCCATCTCTGTCCCTGTCCCATGGCTCTCCTGGCTACTCTGTGAGCTGCTTCTGTCACACCATGGACCTGCCAAGTGCACCAGAGCAGCCATGGGCCACCAGAGCAGCCATGGGGCACAGCAGTGGCTAAGAAGGCAGATCACAGCTTCTCACCTCATGTGAGCAGATCACAGGGACCCCCACACCCAGCAGGGCTGGCAAAGGGGCACCTGCCTGGGCTGGGCAGCTGCACCAAGGCAACTACCTCAGTGCAGTGCCCTGCAACTCCAGATCCTATCATGGGTTCCTGCACAGAGCAGCCACACAGGAAGAGACATCCATCACCCCAGGATCAAGCTCCAAAGACATCACTTCTGAGGCCTGATATGTCCCAGCTCTTGTCATGATGGCTGGAGACAGGGGCAGGAGCTGGGTGCAGCCAGGCAGGTGTGAGGGAGGAACACCCCTGTGCCCGCCCAGGCAGGAGAGCTCGGCTGGCTGGTCTCTCCTTGCAAGATAAAGGTGATGGAGGAAGAAATATTTCAGTCAATTTCATTTCCTGTGCCTGGTGTCCAGGCAAAGGAAACCCATGGCTGCTGATGCAGGCAGATCTCATGCTGGATCCAGGGAAGTCCTGGCTGCCAGAGGCAACATCCTTGAGCCTGTGAGCAGAGCTCCTTGTGCCCAGAGCTCCTTTTGCCCAGAAAGAAACATGCAAGAACAGAGGAGAAAGGCAAAAGCCAAATCCTCACTCACAGCCTCCCTGGCATCATGACCCTCCCTGTCACCCATCATCAGCTCTTATCTGGGTCTAGCTCAGTTCAGAGCAGGAGATCCCAAACCTGCCATGGTGACAAGCCCATTTTGTCACTGAAGGGCTGTGACAAAACAACATTCAAGATGTTCAGGAGGAGCATGGAGGAAGCAGAACTCTTCCATAAGGAGAAATGAAATTTTATAAGGAATAGCATAGAGAGGAAGCAAAACCAGGAAGTCTTCCCCCAGGCTTTGAGCAAATTTTGAAGCTGAACTGAAAAACAAGCCTTCAAAGAGCCGAACTCTGACCAAACACTGCTGTGTTTGGCAAGGAGCAGCCAAAACCACATCTAAAGCTCAACATATGTGCCGGTCCCGGTAGTGCTTCCTGCAAGTGGTGACAGAGGGAATGGAACATGAGATCCTGCCCTGCTGGCCCCAACCCTTTGGACGGGTAAAGGCTTCTCCTGCTGAGCTGCTCTGCCTGTCCTGGGAGTGTGGGGTCTGCTCCACTGGGGAAAGGCTGGCTCCCCCAGGCTGCTGGAGAAGGAATGGGAATAGTCACATGGGAACCAGGAGCCCAGGAGGAGTCTGTGCTGCTGCTGTCCTTTGCCCAGGACTGCAGGTCAACACCCCCTCTCCACTGTCCATAGGCTCCCCCCCTGCTCCCCAGGTCAGAAGTCCCTCTGGCCCCACACGCTCCTCAGCACGTGTGGGCAGTTCCCCATCCTGTCCCAGCTCTTTCCACATCTCTCTTGTGGTGCTGTGGCTCAAGACCCCCTGCAGCCACGTGCTGGGGCTACCAAGTACTACAAACCAGCCAGGGGTTTGCTCTTTGGGCTCTGAGCAGTGCAGGCACATTTGCCATCTGCAAGAAAATCTGAATACATCTTTGTTCTGTGGTGCCATAACCTGCTCGTTTGCCATCTGCAAGGAAATCCAGACACATCTGTGTTCCCTGGTGCCATTACCAGTGGGGAATTCCCCGGGCAGCTTGTACCAGTGCCAGAAGCAGGACTGCTGCTGTTCTCCAGCCTTCCACTGGCAGGTGTATGTCGGCTGGGGAACCATAATGAAAAACCTGTGGGCACAGGAAAAGTGAGAGCAGTGTGCCTGGATTTGGAGAGAACATGGAAAGAGAAGTCATCAGCCCAAAATAAAACCTCCCTTACCCATTTCCAGACAGTACAAGTTCATTGTCACCCACAGGACTGGGCAGTGGTCAGAACCAGTGGCAACTGAGGTTGTCCCTAGACCTACAGGAACTTCAGCACAGAGAGGTCATGGGAGGCATCAGGGCCTGCCACAACATCAACCAGCTTCTCCCTGTGCAGAATCTCCCCCTTAAGCTTCTTGGCCATGCATCCTGCCACCAAAGGATCCAGCTGCTTTCACCCCAGGCCAAGGTGGCTGCTGCCAGCAGGACTCAGGCCATGCAGCCCGGCCATACCCAGGATCCCGACGCGGAGCGGAGCTCGAGCCTGGGGCCGCCGGGCCTTCAGCGCCTTGAGGTGCTGCAGACGGTTCCAGATGGCCTGCTCTGCCTTCTCCCTGGGGAGCCAGCACAACGGGCTACTGCAGCTGCTGCTCCTGCACTGAGCCCCAGCCTGAGCGCCCCAAGTGCTCTGTAAGGAGAATTCAGCTAAAGCAGGGAACCTAATGGCACCCGAGAGTGCGTTTGTGGTGTGCGGATTATGTCTTGTCTCTGTCTTAACTGCTATCACTTTGCTTGACCGAGATCATCTCCCTTGCAGAAACACTTTAGGGACTAATCTCTTGGGGAGAAAAAGTGCCTTGGCCACAGCACACAGGGGAGCGTCGGGAACGAAGCGGCCGGCGAGGGACGGGGAGACGCCGCCGCCGCCTCCGCCCCTCGGCGCCGCGTTCTGCCCCGCCGCCATTCGGGGCCGCCCCGCTGCTGGGCGGTGCCGCCGCGGGAATCACAAAACCACAGAATCAATTAGGTTGGAAAAGAACTCCGAGGTCATCGAGTTCAGCCTGTGACCCAGAAACAACATTTCAGCCAAAACAGGGCACTGAAATCCTGGCCATGTCCAGCCTTCCCTTAAACACCTTCAGGGACGGTGACTCCACCACCTTCCTGGGCTGCCCATTCTAAGGTCTAACGACCCTTAATGTGATGGAATTTTTCCTAATATCCAACGTAAAAGGCCCCTGGTGCAGCTTAAGACCATCTCCTCTTATCCTGCCCCTTGTTCCCTGGGAGCAGACCCTGACACCCACATGGGTGCTCCCTCCTGTCAGGGAGTTGTGAGGCCTCACCCTGAACCTCCCTTCTTCCAGGCTGAGGCCCCTCAGCCTCTTTGGTGCTCCACCATCTCCCCTGATTCCATTGCCCTTCTCTGGACATGATCCAGCACCTCCATGTCCTTCTTGAAGTGTGGGACCCAGAACTGGACACAACACAAACCCTTCCGTGGTCCTGTTTCCCCACTATGGCTGGTACAGGCCAGGATGCCCCTGGCCTTGTTGGCCACCTGGTGCTCATGTTCAGCTGCTGTTGACAGCACCCCAAGGGCCTTTTCCACTGTGCTTTTTTCAACCACTGCCCCAAGGCTGAAGTGAAGGCACAAGACAGCAGGACACAGGTGTTTCATGGTGCCTTGGAATGACCATGGAAACAGCCAAACCAGGTGGTCCCAATCCAGCTCCCATCTGTCCCTGTGTGGCCCGAAGTGCAGACAGTGACACCAAGAGCACAGCCCCAGCACCGACGCCTTTATTGCTGCTCAGAGGGAGGAGGGGAGCAGGTGGCCCAGGGCAGGGGACCCCCAGCTCATGGGTAGCACCGGGTGAGGCCCCAGCAGGAGGATGGAGGGTCTGGGCCAAGGCAGCAATGCAGGACAGTGGCAGGACTGGTGGTCTTCGACTCAGGCAGGGAAGGGCAAAGTGGTGAATGGAGCAGATTTAGTGCTGAAGGGCTCTCATCACCCTGTCTTCATCCCCGGGGCTGGAAGCGAACGTCTGCTCCAAGCAGCAGGAAATTCTGGGAGAAAGAGAGAAAGCGCTGGGCTGCTATGGGCCCTGGCAGCTGCCCTGCCCAGCGCCCACCACATCCCTCAAGGCAGAACGGATTGGGACCTGTGCTCTGGTTTGCTGCTGGGCCATTGGGATCTCAGTGAAGAGCACCCTCCCATTTGTCACTTTCCAGCACAGCTGAGGAAACTGGATTTGGAGGCTGTGCTGGTAAGCAGGGCTTTGTGGGCAGCAGGATGGGCCCCAGCTGGGGCCAGCTGCTCCCTCTCACTCACCTGGTGGAACCTCACAAGGATCTTGGAGAGCTGAATCCTGTCCAGAAGTGGCAGAGGGAAGCCCTCATCTAAGCGGGCTGGAAAAGACAACACATGTGTCTGCACTGGCATGGGAATGGGAGTCAAGGGAGCACGGAGCACTCAGAGAAGGTGGCCACCTCCTTCCCCCAGCCCTTTCCTCTCCTCCACTGCTCCTGGGGCAGGCAGAGGAAACTCCTGCCAAGCTCCACAGAAGGGCTGCCTGTTGTGCCATGACAGCCCCCTTGGCCACTCCTGCCACCAGCCCCACTCTGGTCTGAGCTGCTGGCGAGGCAGGAGATGCAGGGATTCGGGGAGAGGGTCTGGAAAGCATTAGGATCTGCACAGGGCTCATATTTTCCATTGCGTTTGCTGCTGGGAGCCTGTCAGAGCAGCAAGAGGCTCCCTCCGCTTCACTGCCGCCTCCTGCGCGCACTTTGCCCTGCATCAGCCTTGGCAATGAGGATTTAATTAGTGAGCTGGGACCCCTTGGATGGAGCAACCTGAGTCGGGGGTGCTCCAGCAACCTCGTTCCCCCC